GGGTTCCTGTGGTGGCAGGTTCGCCGGCCGAGAGGAGCCCCTGGCCGGGTCCCTCCACCGAGATCATGATGCCAGCAGGGCAGTGGGACAGATAAATGCAAGACTTCCCTTTGAGCTGTGTGGCTGGTCCGAAAAAAATGTAAGATTTGTGACAGCCTTTTCTAGAGGCAGCTTTTAAACTTGTTTTCATGGAATATCGTCCTTCATAGTCCTGTACCATTCAGGATCGAGGCACTGCCCTTAAGCCCTTTCTCCGAACTGCGTCGGTCCTCCCCCTGTCACTCGGGAAGCGTTAGCAGCCCCGTCAGGCTGCTGCGTGTGTGGCCGGCCCCACGGCGCTCACCAACCTGTCCCTTTGCTTTCAGACTCTAGGTCACTTGGAGAAGGCTGTGGTTCTCGAGCTCACCTTGAAGCATGTGAAAGCACTAACCAATCTCATTGAGCAGCAGCAGCAGAAAATAATTGCTTTGCAGAATGGTTTACAAGCGGGTGAGTATTCAAATTGTATCGTGTGAGAACCTGCGTGTGCTTGATGGGCTTTCTCCCGGAGTCTTTGAAATGTAGTTGTGACACTCCGTTCCTCAGCAGGGAGGAGGCAGGAGTTCTTGCCTTTAATCGCCATCATTTTCTCTCCCTTTGCTTATGGGCTTTGGCAAAAAAAGAAGGATTTCTCAATACGGTCAGTGTAGAGTGAGTGCCCTGTGGAGCTGTTTTGAAAATAAATTGGATTTTAAGTAGTTCATTTAGAGCCCAGGTTTGCTGTGAGGTTCTCTCCAAACCCATTCAAATCTTTCCGTTTCTGTTCACGAGCTTTGGATCAAACTTGGTTTTGTTTGTTTTCTGAACATATGCACAAATTGCTTCTTATACACGCCTTTTTCAGGTGTCTGTCTTTATAAATGAGCTAGTCTGTGTATGGCAGGCGAAGAGGGGACCCGGTGCATCAGTTCATCATGCTTTACATGCACTTCCTCCTCCTGTTTTCACATGTGGCACTCACGTGAATCTGATAAAGTAAAATCTAGTTTTTCTGAAGGGCCTTCCACCGCTCCGGCAGCCACAGGGAGTGCAATAGAGCTTTCAGCTGAAGCAAAATCACCCGAGGTTAGGGAGCTGCCGGTGGGTAAATGTGCCCCAGGAGCTCTGTGCCTGGAGGCGAAGGGCGAGGTGCGCTCTGCCTTCCTCAGGGTGTTTCCCAGAGGAGACACCAGCTTGAGTCACTCCTGTGCCCGTGCTCCAGCACCTGTTGGTGGTGGCACAGTTGGCAAATGCAGAGCTAAAAAACAAGTTTAAAGTTACTACGGAAAAGTGGACAGATGGGTGCTCAAATAAAAATGTAGAGGGAATCGGGAATGCATGCAAAATTCGGGTTGACCATCAGGTTTGTCTCTCTAGCTGTGCTGTAGCTGAAGTTTAACACTGCCTCTAGCCCACCTTGAAGATGGTAATGGAACTATTTAGCACGTTGTTAATTTTTAATTTCTTTCTGTTAATGTTTCCTCAGGTGACCTGTCGTCAAGAAACCTCGATTCCAGCCAGGAAATGTTTCGATCCGGTTTCCAGATGTGTGCCAAGGAAATGCTGCAATACCTGGCAAAGCACGAGAACGGCAAGGACCTGAAGTCGTCCCAGCTGGTCAGCCATCTGCACCGAATGGCCTCCGAGGTGCTCCAGGGCGGAGCCGGCCGCAAGTCCGGAGACATCCCTCCTAAAATGGTGGACTTGAAAGAGAAGCCCGTCTCCTTGACCACGGTGGCGGAGGGACACGGGAAAAACTGTGTGCCTGTGATCCAGAGGACATTTGCTCACTCCAGCGGGGAGCAGAGCGGCAGCGACACGGACACGGACAGCGGGTACGGGGGAGAGCTGGAGAAAAGTGACTCCAAATCCGAACAGCAGTATTTCAAAAAGGATACCGAACTCAAGTACGCTGTCCAGGAGAGAATAAGCTCTATTAAGCAAGAGACTGAGGACCCGCCGGCCAAAAGGAGCAGGCTGGAGTCACCAGAGGACGAGAGCCCTTTTGGCAGCGACATGATGGGCTCTTCCAGCAGCTTCCTGGGGCCCCACGCTCACCAGCCTCCCTTGTGCCTGCCTTTCTATTTGATCCCACCATCGGCAACAGCCTATCTGCCCATGCTGGAGAAGTGCTGGTACCCAGCGTCCGTACCTGTCTTGTACCCCAGCCTCCCAGCCTCTGCCGCAGCACTTACGGGGTTCATGAACCCCGATAAAATCTCCCCACCTCTGCTGATGCCCCAGAGACTCCCTTCTCCCATACCGGCCCATTCCCCTATCGACTCCTCGGCTCTGCTTCAAGCTTTGAAGCAGATTCCTCCTTTGAACTTGGAAACCAAAGACTAAGCGCAGTGTGACTTTTTTGGGTTTTTTTTAAGTTGGGTTTTGTTTTGTTGGTTTTTTTTTGGTTTTTTTTTTTTTTTTTAGTTTGAGACTTTCACTTTTATATATTGGCTGGACTGAGGTGTGGGGATGAGGTTCACTGCATGTAGGAAGCTAAATCCCCTTTTCTCTGACTTGTCAGGTAGCTTGGAGGAGGAGGAAGGATGCGCCCAGGTTAGCGATTCAGAACTACTTCCAGGAGAAATACAGAAAAAGAAGGGTTTTGTACTTTACCCCTTACCTTCTCCCCTCTCCGCATCTACAGAACAACAGTTGACTCGGTCAGCTGCGACTATATTGCAAAGCTGTGAAAAAATATTCCATTAGGCAGACTTGGGTTTAGGGTCTGTGAATATAAAACATGGTACTTCTCATAAAGGCTTTTAAGGCAACAGCCCCACTGCTGGTAGTTTGAGCTGAACTGATTCAGTGCCCCATCAGTCACCGGTGCCCGAGTGACCAGCATGGTTGGTGCTGTGGTGGTGGCAATGCCACCAAAAGCATAAGACCAGCGGACACTGCTTGGTCATGCACAGTCAGGTAGACTTAAGACGGGTTTTCTCCACACCTTTGGCTGATATATATATATATATTTTTTAAGAAATAAAAGGTAGATGCTGCTTGGAAGCTTTACATGGCGTACATCTAATAAATAAATTAACACGCGCCCCTTCCTGTAACTGGAGCTGCTAGTTTGTGCTGGGTAGGGGAGAAAATATCCCAAGGATTACTTGGCTTGTTGCACCTGACTCCAGGCCTCTCGCGCTGCTGCTGTACAGTTTCGCCGGGTCTAGTCTGTTGGAAATCAGGATGGTTTTACGAGCCCTGTCAGCAGGGGCCCAGCCGGTGAGCAGCTGCTTCCCAACCAGGGCGAGTCGAGAGCTTCATGCAAGAGGGAGC